TTTTGCTATTTTAATATTTTTTAGAATTTCCTTTTCCGGCTTAAATAACTCTCAGTGTAATTTCTTTATTTTTTTCTCACTATATTCTTTAATCTTCTTTTGATTTTTATTAGGGCGATTAATGCGCTCTATGCTGGTTTGGATTTCCTTTAAAATAGTCTTCTGGTTTTCTGACATTTTTTTCGGAATCCGTCCGAGTTCTCGAAAACTTTTAATGCAATCTAGGCACTGCTGGGAATCCTTCCCATGCTTGCAAGCTACATTGATATTACTGGATAATAAAAGATTTATCCTATCATCTAAGCTCGGTCTTGCTTCGTGCCTTGGTCCGTTGTCTACTGTTTCCGTATTTTTCCTTTGTATTTCTAATATCTTAAATATGCGTTGCTCTTCAGGAGTGCGTGCTCCAGGTGTATTAGCGTAAATCCGTGCTATTTGCTTCCTTCGCTTTTTGGAGAAATTGCACCTTTTGCCTTGGATTTTCACTTTTTTTTTTGAAAAAGAAGAAAAACAGGGACATATATTATTTTTTGTGTAAGGATTTTTCTAATCTAATCTATTTTTACTTATTTACTATGCTAAACTTAATTTTTCGAGAGCCTTTGTTAATTTATACGTGATGAGATCTCTCCAGGGAACCGTTCGATTGAGGCATGAATGCTGTGTTTTTTATTTTATTTATTTTGAATCGCTTGAAAATACGCATCATTAGTGAACTCAAAAAATTTCTGCCTTGATCAGTAAGCACAGCTTTCGGACATCCAAAAACACAAATGAATTTCTTAAGAAACTAGTGTTATTTAGCTCGCTTCGCGCGCTTTTTTTAATGTTTTACTATTATTTATTACATTATTTGAACCTTTTACATGTCAACTTCAATATTTCAATGGACACGAATAAGTCATGAACCTCCTGGTGTATTAGCGTAAATCCTTTTGCCTTGGATTTTCACTTTTGAAAAAAAAAGAGTAAAACAGATATTTATTACCGCGCTAATATTCTTTTCTAATTTAACCTAATCTACTCTACTTATTTCCTACTTTAAAAGGTATGTGTAAAATTGATTTATAAATTTAAATTTTTAAAAGCCTTAGTCATTTTTTCTATTTTTATTTTTAAAATATTATTTGAAATTTTTTGTTGTGTGGCTAATTTGTTATTAATTTTTGTTTGTTTACTTAATGTCCTAATTTGTTTTTTATGAATATTATTAATTTTAATTAAATCTACGCAAATATTTCTTAAGCTAGCTATTTTTTCAATTCTATGCTTATTTTCTAATTCAAGTTTCGCGACGCGTTCGCTAAGACTACGACTGTTATTGTTTATTCTTGTGATATCGGAACTATGATTATTAACCCTATCAATTACGGATATTTAACTGTCCTTTAAATGTGTAATGTTTTCGATTAATTCATCTACCGTGTCGACTACTTCGTTAGAAAAAGTATTAAAACTTACGAACGGTGACATTACAACTAAATGAAAGACCAAAAATTTTATCTATCTAACAACAAAATTTTATTAAAATATAAAACTTATTCGTTAATCTTCCCCTATTTCTGACTAAAATAAATGTATACTTTTAGTCAATAATTTTCAAATACAAATTCAATTTTCAATAAGCACCGGTAATTTTTAGTTAGCCACAATTTTGTAATTTTTCAAAACTTACTTCGATCAATAGTTTTAAATATATCTTTCATTAATTGATTCTTTTTCTATATTAAACTCAAAACGGATTTTATTCTATCTATATTGATTGTTTTATTCGTTTAATCAATTTTCTAAAAATCCCTCAAAAATTAATTTTTATTACTAATATATTCCTTTCTGGTTAGCGACTCAGACAATTTTTGTAAATAAAATACTTTTTCAAATTTTTCTCTTCAAGACAAAAAGACTTTTTTCATGACAATTTTCCTATTCTGATTTATAATTTTATCTTCAATAAAAGTTCATAAAAAATGATTCCTCTCAGAAAACTTTCGTCAAATTTCAAATACTTCTCAAAGCCTTTTCTTAAGCAACTTAATTTTCAATATTTTTCTTTAATTTCATTATTCATTTGCCCACTCAAATTTCAATAATTTTCTAAATCAATTTATTCTTTGTTCCAAAATAAAGCCCATTGATTTTCCAATAACACAAATAAATTTCTAGCTTCAATTCAAATAAACTCCAATTAATTTTCACATTCAATTTAAGCTATCTTCTTGCTTAAAACAAAACTTAATTTTATTTTCTTAATTAAATCAGTGATTTTCTTCCTCATAAATTTGTATTCTCAAAAGAAAAATTTTATTTCTTTACTTTTTAATATATTCTTCACAGACTTCAAATTCAACAAAACTTTAACTATATCAACTTTTAACTTTTTTTTTACTCTGATTAATCACTGATATAATTTAAAGAAAGGAAAACCCTAACAATTTTTTTCTTAACATGTAAGAAAGAATATTTCTAAATTTTCGAATGTAATCCCTCCGGGGCCTCCAAAATTTATATGTGATGTCGGGGTCACTCTCAGGTATGCTTGGAGTAAGCGTAAACTCAGGGTTGTTCTGATTTGGCTATCATATAATACATAAGCCGGAACGAGCAATATTGTTGCGTGGAGAAAACTGTATGCTAACGCGGAATGTAATAATCAAATGTTATTACGAATACTCCAGACTCACGCTTAATGTGTTCTTAAAGGACTTTAATGAAAATTCACCAGACTCGTGCTTAATGCATTTCCAAAAAAACGGATGGCTTAAAGAAAGAAAAGGATAGCCAGATATAAGGTTATACTTACTTTTATTTTATTTAATTATTTGTTATTAAGGCTGCGCTCTCTCTCTGCTCTTTGACCTCTTTCTCTCTCTTTGTCTCTATTCTGGATGTAGTTGAGTGACTTCTAGATTGAATTTTGGCTGACTTCTTGATAATACACTTCAAAATTTTTTTCTATTATGCTTCCTCCAGCACTCACTGGTAGTCACTTCTTGTTAGGCACTTCCTGGTGCTCACTCCCCTCCTCAAGTCTTGTACAGAGCTTTTTATAAGCAGTGGGTGGTTGGGTGGAAATCCCTTTCCTCAGGCCCATGAAGCGATAACGGCCAAATTTTGTATTGGTGGGAAATTTTCTAATCGTATCTAGGATTTCTTTATTGGTCTGTGGGCGTGAAATTTCAGGCAGAGAAAGGGCGGTCCCTTTTTAACTTGGGCCCTTTTCTCCAGAGATGACTCTCGGAGTGCCACTTTTAAGAGCAAGAGTGACGCTATAGTTTATAATTACCTATACAAAATCGTACTAAACTTAGTTAATTTTAACGATACATAGTGATTATTTAATAACTATAAATTACAATAATTCAATAATTAACTATTATAAAAATCCAAAAACTTCCAAGGGTTATTATAATATGCATTACGGTACTATTGTTATTTTCGCTTAAAACATGAAATTATTTATTAGTTATTTTGTTATTCAAGGGTTGAACTGGATAAATGATATATTTTTAAAAGATGCGCATTATGGTACAATAGTAACTTACAAAATTGATAAAATCCATTAAATATTACGGATATTTTCTTAAAATTCGGTGGGGAAAAAAAGTAAATTGCATTTTTATGGCCCCCTTCCATTATCGGCGCGATAACGCTTCACGATGTATACACGATGATCGTAGGCTCCTGTCAACACATCCGCGTGAGACAAAGTAGGATAGAGCGTCGCAGGCTCGGGCCACTAGCAAGTTTTATATAAACTCTTTATCTCGAATGCGTTTTCATCGTGAGAAATCAGGAAGATTCCCGCTCCGTTCTTCATATTTATTTATTAAATTAATATAAAAAAAAGTACTAAGTTACGGCTGGCCGTCACAATAGTATTACTAAATCTGAAAATACTGTTGGCGACATCGAAAAAAGGCTTGGGAGATAATATTTTTTCATTTTCCATTTTGAAACTATCTGATGCACACTTTTTTTTTTTTAAAGAAGTACATCTTTTACTAAATAGTTATTGTGTGGAAGGAATGAAAACAAATGATAAAATGTTATTATTGACCTATATAATTAATTTGCACCTTTTCAGTATAATTCCATAAGTGTGTTGTGTGTGTGTGTGTGTGTAGATTACTATATTATTTTCATGTAAATAAATAATAAAAGAAATATATAAATATTTCGGACTTCACTTCATTAGGAACACTATTCTTTAGTATTCGTCATCTTACTTGAAAACTATTTCTAAACAATGTGTCCAAAATATAAATAAAGGAAACCTATAACAAACGTTTCAAAAACGTTTTCTAACCTTTTGAACTGTCCACACATGAAAATTTTCACGCTAATAATGTTTCTAAATGATTGTCAAATGTTTTGCTACCATTCGATTATTCTTACCTACAAATGTTTCAATGGAATAATGTTTTTGACAAATTACTAACACGTTTTACTAATATTTAGACAATTCAAGTCTCATAAAATTATTCTGAAAAAAACGTTATACAAACATTTTATAACTATTTACAAATGGTTAAATATTTCGTAATAGTAAAATTTTTATTAATGTAAAAGTTTTTAAAACGTTCAACGATTCCCGTTTTTATGTTATTCAGGGAGTTCGAAGTCACAGATAATCGGTAAAGAATAATGAAACATTAGGCTTTACTAATAATGATTTCACTTTTGTTAAAAAAGAAAGAACAGAAATATTTGGAACAAATCTTCAAGTAGATCTATTTGAAAATGCACATTTATTGTTTGATAGCATATAAGTTGTTGGATTAATTTCTATTCTATTTCTATTTCTATTTTTCAATTTCTATGTTTTCGTCTTTTATTTTGTACGATATGATAAGATAAGAATTATAATAATCTTGATAATATAGCAAGAACTATAAATCTTTGATATTTATAAGAATATTGAAAAGACACCTAATACGCAGGTGAATTCAAGCATCAATGGGCAGGTGCGTAGTTATGGACATGCGCAGGTGTAACAGGAAAGTAGTTCAAGATATACTTCTCCAAAAAGTATGTGTGCAATTTAAGATTGTCAGTATGTTCTTTGCTAAAACTATATTTTATTCAGTAAACTTCAAAATTTCTTGAATGTATGTATATATTAAATGACTATTACAGATTACTCGTAGAATTAAACCTTAGTACACAAATGCATATTATAATTAACATCCAGGCATTTGCAAAATTGTCACAGATAAAATAAAAACAACTATTATTATGACATTCTTCTATCAATGTCCAGGTATTTCAAATCTTACCGATAAATGAATACACATTTTTATTCAAATTTTCAATATCCGAATTGCTATTAGAAAATTTTAGCTTACTTGAATTCCACTGAACGTATTAAAAATCTATCGATTTTCTATGATAGCAAAAACTTAAAGAAGCTTTATAACCAGTTGCCTAAAATTGAAAATTTACTAAATTTTGACTTGCACCAGTTAAAATGAGAATTATCGTCTAAATACGATAATTCTGCTACTTGATGCATCGTCGAAAAATGTAACATGTTACAAATGTATCATGAACGTTATCATTCATAGATGAAACTCAATGCTACATTGATATTATACCGAATTCAAATGATAACCATGATTTTGCTTAAGAAAGTATAATATATATCGTTGAATTATTTTCAAGAAAATTTTACATACAGGCATAGTTCTATTGTGAAAATCTTAAAAATTTACGATTTTTCATTTTATAATATCTAATAATCAAATTCAAATACACGTAATGGACATAAATTTAACTTACTGACTTATCATGTTACTTTTCTCGTATTCTAATACCACTGCTGTACTTTATCGGTGTAAGCTATAAAGTAATAAATCTTATTAATTATCAGATCTATTAACATTTTCAGAAAATTTATTATAAACAAACATATAAGAATTAAACATATGAAAACATACTTTTGGCGAATTATTTGGTATTACACTTACACTTTTGTGAGTAGTCCTTGCTGTTGATAAATGTATAAATGTATTTCATAAACCTAATTTCGGAATATAAGATCTTCTTTACATATACCATGAATACTTAAATAAAATATATAATTCACTCACTAACTCTCTCAGGAATTAATAAGACTGTACACAGTATATCCAATAAAGATCCTTGCCCCATTCGCACTCCCATACTTTGCAAAAAAAGTAAAACTTCCATATGAGTAGGCTACTGCTAATACTTATAGCACCTAGACTATTGTAACATATTTTTGTAGCTGCAGGCAAGCATTTTGATATGTTCATTGAACAAGTTCAATTATCGCTTGATAATTTTTATACAAAATTTTTAATTACAATTTATTTTACTTGCTTGCAGCTACAAAATTCATTTCACGATAACCTCTAGGCCCTTAAAGTATTAATAGCAGTCTACTTATATAGATATTTTACATTTTGTGGAAATGTGGAGGGGACAACGAAATCTCTCTAATTGCCCACCAAGATCATAAATTATGAAAATTCATAGACACTAATATTTAGAATTTGTAGCCTAACATACCACCAATACTTGTATTTGATCGATTTTCAAATTATATTTAATTTTAATATTTTATAAATTGACAGACTATTTGTATATAAATACACGCTACAAACTGTTGCTGTAGTTTTAAATATACGATATGAATAGTTGATCCAGTTTGTATATATATATATATATATATATATATATATATATATATCGCATTACCGATATTTGATCGACTGATGGTATGGACTAACACCGAACGCTACTAGCGACGTATAAATCATGTATGAAAAGAATGTTTTGAGCGTGAAAAAAATAAAAATGACATTATCATAAATATACATACGACTACGAGTTAATCAAATTGCAAGAGTTTAAGTTAGTAAAGCGGTTAACAGTAGGTGTATTACGTATATCAACGTAATATCATATATAACTGTATGTAGGTATTCCAACGTATCTGATGAGCACGGTACAATATTAGATGAATTTATTTAAGATTGAGGAAAATAAAATAATATAATGAAAATTTTTTTATATGTAACTTTTTTAAAACTGCCTTGATTGAATGAAATCTTTTTGTAGTTGATAGATGATAATCTGGACTTTCATTTTAACTGATCGAAATATCAATATCAAACAGTAGAAAATGAGAAAACATTTAATGTCGTCCGGAAGCGTTTAGAATCTCCATCTTTTATTGTATAATCAAGTGCGGTATCTACTCTCATCATTTATTTTTCTGAACTTTCAATCTTCTTTTATTAAAGTCATCCAAAAATAAATACATAAATTAAGTTATTATATTTATGAATATTATTTAATGGATCAGTCTATATATATATATATAGTCAGCTTTCATACTGAACGAACGTATTTGCATGTGCTTCAGTATTAGAAACTAATAGATTAAAGAAAGTGAAAGTTTTTACGAGTAAACAAGTTACCATTTTAATCGAACTAAATTTACTGTTTTAGTGTAACAGATAGCTAGTAAATATAATAGCGTAGTCTTTGTTAAATATTAAATCATCTATCAATCATTCTCCAATTGTTAATCATCAATTAATAAATATGCTAGCTATAAATATAATAATAACAGATTGGACTAGATCAATCACACTATCAGTAATTTATTGTCCATTAAATCACTCAATTTGTAAAAATGACTCCTTTTCTTTCTTCAACACTCTGTAACACCGGTTCATAGCTGATGATGACTGCAACGATAAGCGCACTTGGTGGGGCTCAAGGTCATCCATTTCTACTCTACAACTATACAAGGGAATGAAGGAAAATGACTGTACTCCTATATCAACTGAAAACCCTACTTATTGGCCAGTACATCTCAACAAGTTACCAGACCTTATAGATTTCGAAATAGTAAAGTAATAGTAAAGGGTATCAACTGTTTCTAATTTGAAGCAAGTTCATGTCTGAACATGTCGTCGAATCACTCTTCATTAATAATAACACTAAATGCTAAAGTAGTAAGGAAAGAATATACATTGAAAACTACCAACTGGACTAAATATAAGCAATACATTGAACATAACATTCACAGCAATATACCTCTTAAATCTAATAGTAATATAGAAAAAAGCATATAATTCAATGTATTGATTGAAAAAGCTCATAAAAAATTTCTTACAATAGCAATCGAGAAAAGTGATCATCAACAACGAAACCACATAAGCAGACAAATTCAAGAAAAGAGCAGACTCAGAAAGAACAAACAGTGTACTCGACATTGGAATAAAGTAAAACCAAATAGTACAACTAATGAATTAAAAATAATGCTGCAATATAAATAGAAATCGCAAAGTGGAAAAATTCTTAGATTTTTTTTGTATATTAGTTACTGTAGGAAATACAAACGATCTGAAAATATACTATATTTGTGATAAAAATCGCTGTAACTTGATCAGCTTTTAAGCTAGAGAAAAAATAAAAAAATTATTTTGATATTCTTGGAAATAGTTTGAAAAACATTTGTACAAAATTTTTGTAGATGGATTATTTATTGAATTTTACGTATTTGAATAAAACGTGAAATATTTCATTTTTTCAACGTCCATTGCAACATAATAAAAAGTTTAAAATTAGCTTAACAAAATTTTACACTTAATCATCAAAAAGTACTTACAAATAACTTTAAAAGGAGCACTCGCTGATTCTGTGCGACTTATTTTAGCCGAGATAGAAAACTCTGAATCTTTCTAATTTTAATCACTAGTGACCCTATATTAGTTACCACCACTGTATGTGAATTTTATCGTATCTTAAAGCAATCATTATTATTTTATAAACCTCTTTCATCAAAATTATATCATTTATAGTTTTTAAAAATATTTCAGAGGGCGTTACAGTCAGTACATCTCCCCCCACTTTTCATTCTCTCTATCCATTCCATGTTCTACACCGCTAATACCGCTGAATACAACGTCATCACTTCACTTGCAACGCTATCACTTAGTCTCAAAACGGCTTTGATCCAGTAAAATAGCGCAGTCTCGAGAGAGAGAAAGAGAGAGAGCCAGCGAGTTACGCCTGCCTTACCTACCTTTCATAAGATTACTAAGAGCTGATTCTATAAGACAACTAATAAATTCACTAGATAATCGTCATGATGACTTATATTACTTATTTTGAATATACGGTCAAAAACTCATGGGAAGCTTATCAGTTAGAAGGTTAAGACATAGATGATTTTATTAGATAGAGAAATCTAGCAATTAATAATATAATTTCATTTAAGAAATTTATGAAACATCTTGTTTTACACAGAGCAATTCGACAAAGATGTTAAATTTGTGCTTTTCATTTCAATTCTCGTGAAGTCAATTTGAGTTATTCTGTAAAAATGAGCGGAAGCATACAACCATTGGAGTTTATTCCTGATGAAATTTAAGTGAAATTTAAGGAGATGTAGTTACTTGGAGACCAATTCATTCAGCATTTGAAGATCGTATTAGTACAGCATGTATACTTAATCAAAGTCTCTTAGACTGTGACGTCGTGGCAACGACACAGCTCAGGTGCGCCTGAGGCTTAGCGCAGTCTCAGGATTCGTTGTCGCCAGAACTGCGATTTCTCGCCTAAACTGGCGTGGATCACTCGTCAAGAAATTGTCTAAATCGAGAGGGGAAGTGCCACAGAGCCTATACTTCCGCTCTCAGATTCCGATCGAAAGTCGTAATCTTTGAGCTAGAAGCACCACGGGTCCTATCAATAGTAGTACCCGGATTTTCTAATAATATTAGTACCTGGATCCTATCAAAAGTAGTCTCCAGCTAATAAAAAAAGGGGAAACACGAGCTATTACTTCGTTAGAGAAAAGAGAGAGGAAAGTATAGAAATAAAGGATTTTTCTTATTCCCTTATTGTCTTTTTTTTATTAAGAAGTTTTGTTGAGTTTGGTGTTGGATGTCTTCTCCTTGTCCAATTCCAGATTTATTCTGTTATTTGGCTGCTTGGCTCTCTGCTTCTTCACTGATAGCACAATGATGAATTTTCTTCTCTTGATTTTTTTTCCACGACTGTCGCTCGAAGCTCGTACATCTCTTTTTATACACTGGGGGTGGCTGGGTGGTAAGTCCCTCTCTCAGCGTCTTGGCTTTGGGAGGAGTGGAGTAAGCGATGATGCTTTCATTGGCCCATTTGTCTCTTCTCATTTTCCTCACTGATTTTTCGGGACCTAATTGGAGCGGGGGCGTGGAGAAAATCGGAGGAGCGGACGCAGAGGTACAGGCCTTGGCTCGT